GAAAGAGGGAATCGATTATGAGGAAACCTTTTCGCCGGTGGCCATGCTTAAATCCATTAGGATCCTGCTAGCTGTAACAACGTACCATGATTACGAGATTTGGCAAATGGATGTCAAAACTGCATTCCTGAATGGAGATCTTAGTGAAGATATCTATATGCAACAACCACAAGGTTTCATAGCTACAGGTTAGGAACACATGGTATGCAAATTAAATCGTTCCATATATGGACTTAAGCAAACTTCTAGAAGTTGAAACATCCAATTTGACTCTACCGTCAAAAAGTTTGATTTTGAGCAAAATCCAAATGAGCCTTGTATTTACAGGAAATACAGTGGGGATAAGGTTACCTTCTTGGTTCTGTATGTAGATGACATTCTACTCATTGGGAATGATGTAGGAATTTTGACTACGGTGAAAGTATGGCTTTCACAGCAATTCTCCATGAAAGATCTTGGAGAAGCCTCCTATATACTGAGTCTTTGGCTCTATAAAGATAGATCAAAGAGAATAATAGGATTATCCCAATCTGCTTACATTGACAATATAGTCAAGAGATACAGCATGGAAAACTCCAAGAAAGGAAATGCTCCTTTCAGGCATGGAGTCACTCTCTCCAAGGGCATGTCTCCCAAGACTTCTGAGGAGATTGAGAGCATGAAGGACGTTCCCTATGCCTCAACCGTAGGGAGCATCATGTATGCCATGCTATGCACTTATCCTGACATCGCTCAAGCAGTGAGTGTGGTAAGCAGATTCCAGTCAAACCCAGGGCAGGAGCATTGGACTGCTGTGAAAAACATACTTAAGTACCTTTGAAGGACAAAAGAATTTTGTCTGGTATTCGATGGTAGTTCACTACAGATCCAGGGGTATACTGATGCTGACTTCCAGTCAAATCTAGATGATAGAAAGTCAACATCTGGATACGTTTTCATGATAGGATCGTGTGTTGTTTGCTGGAAAAGCAGCAAGAGTCCACGACGGATTCCATAACCGAAGCCGAATACATTGCCGGAAGTGAAGCTGCCAAAGAAACCGTTTGGATGAAGAAGTTCATTAACGAATTGGGAGTAATTCCATCTAGCACATCACCCATTCCATTGTTGTGTGACAACACTAGAGCTATCGCTCAGGCTAAGGAGCCACGAGCCCACTCGAAGTCGAAGCACATCGAGAGGAAGTACCACATACTGCGGGAGATAGTTGGAAGAGGGGACGTCCTAATTCAGAAGGTAGCATCAGTGGAAAATGTAGCAGACCCATTGACTAAGCCACTAACATGGAAAGTGTTTGAGAAACAAGTGGAAAGTCTGGGACTCTGGCTTATACCAGATTGGACCTAAGTGCAAGTGGGAGTTATTAGACAGTGTATGCCTTAGCTCCAATCAAAATGATGTACATTATGACATTTAAGGTAAATGAATAAAGTACATATTTGATTCATATTATCATGGTGGGTTTCTGTGTAATACCCTTAAACTGGACACATATGAGACTCGTGTTAGTTTAGAATCTTCATAGTTATTGGATAGATCTGGGGAGATTTATCATGCCAAGGCTGACACTGATGTGCCGCCAAGTTGGTTGGAGTGGCTTGTCTCAGCTGCCATGGTGGGACCTGAGGTACATGCAGTGTGGGTTTTCTTGAAACTTTGAATCGGGCCAGAGTTCCAGTATTGCCCTGGACCTTGGAGATAGATGGGAAAAATTTGAATGTTACACCTGACCCCAAGACTCGATTATGATACTGCACTAAGTGTCGGATTGGATTGTCTTTGATATGCCAATCAGTGAGATCCTTAGAGGGGGTCAAAACCTGGGTATGTTGGGACAGTCCGAGAATTCATCTGAGTGGGTGATCATARTGACAGGATCARCCCCTTTGTCGGACAAAGTGAATGATCGATGATGCACTCTCTCTGATGGAAACCAAAACTGTCGGCAGTCTATTTCAACCGTTGAAATTTGTTTTTGCAAAATATATTTATACAGAGATATAGAGATATATATATTATGATTTCAAAATGTTTGCAAAAGGTTTTAATTCCCGAGATCTATGTGAGTAGAAAATGCAGCACTGTACTTTGCAGCCGAGGGAGAGGTCCTCTCTTGTTGGGCAGTGTTTGATCATTATGGGCTGAGAGGTTAAGTGTAAGATCATTGAGGGTAATACCTGGTGGGTTAATCTTGCATCTGCCCACAGTCCTTGGGTTTTTATAAGGTAGCTTGACCCAATGACCATTTAGTGTAAATGTTGAGCCCATTAAGAACCCATGGTGATGGGCTCAAGGGTTTAGTGTTTCATACAGTGAATTCGGCCAGGCCTTGTAACAGAGACTTGGCTGAACCCATGTGGTTGATGTGTAGATCAATGTTTGGGTCCCATGCCATACAAGGATATCCAACTGGGCAGCAGTTTAGAGGATCAATGAGCACATAGACTTAATTAGATTAATTAAAGAGGGGCGGTTTTGGAATTTAGATCAACATATATGATAAGGGATTGTCCCTATCCACTCAGAGAGTCCAGATCCAAATAAAGATTTGGATCAGGAAACTCCTAATTAGATTAGGAGGGCTGATCTTTATCTGCAGATAAGATAAGGGATTATCCTTATCTCTTAAAGAGAGTCCAGATCCAAATACAAGATTTGGATTAGGAAACTCTTAATGGGGTTAGGAGAACCTCTCTTTAAGGCTATAAATAGAGGAGGAGGGCGAAACGTAATTGATCCATCAAATTACTCATACAAGAGAGAAGACAACATACAGTTAGACTAACGCCATCTCCTACTCTTGCCTTCTCCTACTATTGCCGCCATTACCAGTTCGATCCCCACCTGTATGAGCGATCAAAAAGGGTTCTTTATATCACCTTTTGGGAGAAAAGGTGATCTGAAGTCATGCTCAGTCGCCCTCCATCAGATTCTTGGTGAAGAATCAGGTTCTTGCTGAAGAGCCATCCTGCTGATTCTGCTCCACCCTACACTGTGTCATTTTCAGTGGCAGCAGTCTTTGGTAATCTCCTTGTGTGTGAACACCTTGGTTGGGAGTTACTGTTACTCCATATCAGGTATATCCCTTTCCTACCTTTTGGTTTCAGATCTGTTTCGGTTTAGGTTCAAGATTAATTCTTGATAATGCAGTTTTCTAAAATAGGGTGTGATTCCCACATGGGAGAGAGAGAAATTTTTGAAATTTCACCCAACCTACCTGTAGGGTTCGGCCATCCATATGATGGATTGCTCATCCCTTCAACAAGGAATTTGGTTTGCTTTGGAGATGGAAGAAAATGGGAGCAAATGAAATGGGATTACCCTTCTCCACTGTATAAAAGAAATTTTGGGGATTTTGGGTCTTGTTTACTTTACATTGAAATGTGAATTGTTGTTTATTTAGATTGAAAATGGAAGGAAACTCAGAGTTAGCATTCAGCAAAGAAACTCGATCTTTTACTCTTTCTGTCTTGATTATAATGCTTATTTTTTTCGGATCCACATTGATTCAAGAGTGCTTCTTCATTCGGTGGAAAGAAAATGAATTTTGAAATGGGAAGAGAGAAAAAGGAGGTCAATATAGCTCAGTAGGACAAGCTGCACGTTTAGGCTAGCGTGAGACAAGGGGAAGAAATGTCGTGGTGTAAGAAAACCCACTTAAGTTTGTTGTTGTTGACGAACTTGCACTCTTGAGAGGCTTTCAGACAAAATTTTAATAATACTTTGAGAGCATACACTCGGACTCAACAGTCATTCACACAAGCACATACACTGTTTGTCTGGCAATGGTTTTTTCCTCTCTTCTTCCATTCTTTTCCTTTTCTATTCCTTGTGAAGTCTTTCTTCTATAAACTAATCTGTTTGTGTGTGTGCCTTGGAATAATGGAATTTTCAAATTCTCATGCAATTTTTCTGAAATACCCTTGAGAGATTCTTGAGTGGGTAGTTGGGTTCAAGGTTGGGATGATTGGATTTTTTTGTCTAGTGGGGTTTGTAAAGCAATAATATGAAACAATGCAGGGGTTGGACTGTTGGAGAATTGGAGGTGATTTGAATCCATCTAGGAAGTATGAATTTAACTTTTTGGGTTAGTTGTTGACTATTGTTGACAGAAACTGTTTCAATTTTCAAGCAATTTGGCTCTCTCTCTCTCACACTTTTCAAATTGTTTAGACTTTGGATGATCGACGATGCATGGTCATAATCACTATAAAAGAATAATATTAGCCCTTTTTTCCCTCTCTTCCGTAGTTCTTGTTTTGCCTCCGTCGTAGTTCCTTTTCTCTCTCTTGATTAGGAGCGTCAAGTGTGGGCCATGGTTGCGGTTACGGGTGAACTAAGAACATCACCCCTTCTGCTGGTCATGGTAGTGGCCAGTGGCGAGCCCTTTATTTTGGGCTTTTGGGTTTTCGTCATGAAATGATGGTCTAAACTATTGGGAGTTTGGGTTCTGTTTCATTTTCTTGAGAAAGAATATAATGAATATTGTGTTTTATTTTCAAGGGTAATTTTGATATTTTCAAAAGTCTTAAATCGCACTTGACGTCACATGATATACTTAATTGATGGTCCATTAACGATAGGTACTAGATTGTCGCATTTTAAAGTTCGGGTACTAAATTGTCACTCGACCTAAAATACAGAGTACATATAAAGAATTTTCTTCCCAATATACAACCATGATATGTGTGAAATCAATGTGAAGAGAGATCTTTAAAGAGTATATCCAAACGATAGGTACATCCCACCCTATATTGGGAACATCTCCTAATAAATAACAAATGGAAGTATAAGAGATATTTCCTATGTGTAGCAGGACATTCTGTGAGGTCGGTGTGAAGAGCGATTTGTGAGAGTAGATCCGGATTCCGGACTCATAGGGATTTACGGGGCAGATCTCTGACCCTCTAGACAGCACAGGCTGCTCGAACGTAGACAGCCAACCTTTCCTTCCTATATTTTATCTGCCACTTTTCGTCCACGTGTAACCTACATCGGCTAATGGACGTACGGAAATGAGGTACAATGTCAACTGCCATTCAACAAGAAACTTGGCAAACAAGCTTCCAAAGTCCGAAGTCGAAGCATTTTCTATGTCGTGGCGTGTCTTCCCACATTATGAGATTTGTAAATCTTCAGCGAGCTCACTGTTGCTCCGCTTCATGGGGCATATTAGGAATCTGAAATCGATTCCTACCCCACATCCGCCTGGTTTCCGATTCCGTCCAACCGAAGAACAGCTCTTATGTTACTACCTTAGCAACAAGAACAACAGGGAGAGCCCAACGCACCATAACCTTTCAGTTGTCGATGTTCCACTCTTAGGCTCAGATGTGATTGAAGAGTTGGATCTGTACAACTATGACCCCTGTGACCTACCGGAGATCGCGTGTTTTCCATTTGGTGACGGCGGACGTAAGAAGCATTGGTATTGTTTTACTGCAAAGGCGACAAGTGACCGCGGGAAGCGGAAAACCAGAGGCGGCTTCTGGAAGAGCAGGGGACGGGCCCGGGATGTTATTGGAAAAGGAGTTTTATTGGGGAAGAGGAAGACTTTTGTGTTTTACAGAGGGAATTCGTTGAAAGCAGAGAAGTCTGGTTGGATGATGTATGAGTATGCCCTTGTTGATCATCTGAAGGTAAACAGGGTTCTCGGAATTCTTTTTGTGTCTGTCATTCTATTTTATTTAATTGGATTACTTGATTCTGGTTTGCAATTTGTGAAGAAGACCTCTGGAAGGTTATTTTTCTTTCTCCTTGTCTCCATGGCTGGTTGAATGTTTTATCTGAATGTGAGAAAATGTTTTTCCCCTCAAATATTGTTTTGGAAACTACCTGGGTATTTGGTTGACTAGCTTATTACCATTGTCGGCTGCCTCTTCCTTAAAAAATTGTAAAATGCAATTGGATATCCTTGTGAAAAAAAAATGGAGCAATTTAGCAAGTTAAGCAGGCAAATTTCGTTCTTTTATTCTTGTTAGAATCGACAGTACAAGGGTAATTTGGTCATTTTCCTATTTAATTAAGGTTGAATTGTCTATTTTGTCTGTCCCATAACGAGGGACAGATTTGTCTTTTGTAGTCTAATACCAAGATTATAAATATAAGGTGGGTCGTATTGACTTTTCCTCTTCTAGACTAAACCCTTTCTTCTTTCTTTATTGCTTACTTGTCTCAGACCTGGGACTGAACTAGTGTTAATCGAATTATTTACATGGTATAAGAGCACTAGAAAATTAGTTTTGAACTCACTTTTTTTTTTCTTCTTTCCTTCCTCATTGGATTGCCATATCATAATTTCTTTCTAAAATGACTTCCAAACTAATCGGAGGATCGATAAGGGACCAAAAAGGAGTAGTCGTTTTTCCTTATTGGAGGTAACTATGCCTCCAGTTGCTGTGGTGGTTTGCCAGAAACCCTCTAATCGATGACTCGGAGAGGGCTAGTTGTGGACAGGTGTGAACAGAATTCTCTAGTCGTTGATAGTGTAGTGTGTTCTCTCTCTTTTGGATTGGATTTCATCCATGTGGCAGTGTTGATTGATAGCGGTGTTGTAACAACAGTGTTTTATTGGGTGGTGTGTGGTGTAGTGCTGAATAGTGAATGATGACTTTTGTCTCTTATAGTTGAATCTTTTTTTGGTGTGTGGTGACTTTGTTATAATGGCTACAACTGGAGAGGGTAGTGATAATAAGACTGGGGTTATGATTTCCCCTGATTACCTGAATGTTCAAATGATCTCTATCAAGTTAAATGGTTATAACTATGTGCCATGGGCTAAATCAGTGGAAGTGTTCTTAAAAGCCAAGAAGAAGGTGAAACATGTGAGGGAGGAGAAACTCTCTTCTGAATCTCCAAGGTTTAGTGAGTGGGAATAGGAGGACACACAAATTATGACTTGGTTGTGGAATAGTAATAGCATAAAATTAGTGTGAACTTTATGTTCTTGGATACAACTAAGGAGATTTGGGACCATGCTAAGAAACTTGATTCTGGCCAAGATAACACTAGTAGAGTGTACCAACTTTATTAAGAGTACTTTAACCTAAGCAGGGAAATCAATGCCTAGAAGAGTACTATGCAAGCATGAGCAATCTCTGTAATGAGCTTAATGTATATCACCCTTTGACTTCGGATGTTAAAATTCAGCAACAACAACGAGAACAATTGATGTGACAAGGTTTTTAGTGGGTTTAAAATCTGATTATGAACCTATTCGAGCACAAATATTAGGCGGATCTGCTCTCCCCTCTCTTAAGGAGGTGTTTGCCCGACTCTAGAGGATTTCTATTGAACCTACGGAGCATTCCGCCCTCTCAGACAGGTCTGGTTTTGTGGTGGCGAGAGGGGGAGGTCGTGGAAATAGAGGTGGTGGAGGTGGTCGTGGATTTCTAGGGACCTGAGGTAGTCCTATGTTCAATCGTACTGGTGGTCGCAGTAGAGGTCGAAATTCAGGGGGAGGTCGTGGTAGAGGACTAAGTACTGGTCCTAGGAGGTGCACATATTATGGATTGGAGGGGCATATTGTTAACTTTTGTTATAACTTACATGGTCCACCCAACACTTTGGCTAATCATGCTGTGACTAGTGGTGGTGGTATAGTTAGTGAGAACCAACAGGTTGATCAGACACCCTCCGCATCTATATGTGTTTCTAGGAAGGAAACAATGAGTGTCCCATGTGAGGAGTATGAGTTTCTTTAGACATCCTCTCAGCAGAACACAACTACGCTTGCACATTCAGGTATGGCTTGCTTGGCATCCAAACCCTCACACTAGATTATTGACTTTGGAGCCTCTGATCATATAATTGGGACTCCAGGTGCGTTTTCTTCACTTTCTCAGTCTTCCACGTCCTAAACAATTACCCTTGCTAATGGTTCTACCTCTCCCATTTGTGGTGTTGGTGATGTTGATATCACTTTTTTTTTATCTTTATCCTCAGTCTTATATGTACCCAAATTTCCCTTTAACTTCATGTCTGTTAGTAGATTAACCAAGTCACTTAATTATTCTATAACTTTTTATCCCTCTTTTTGTGTGTTTCAGGATCTCAAGACAGGGATGAAGATTGGTGGAGGGCATGAGGCAGGTGAATTGTATTACCTTGATAGTGGTGGTTCGAAAGTAGTTCTTCAATCATTTCTTACTCCTTTCCAGTGGCATTGCAGACTTGGTCATCCATCTTTCAAGGCCCTAAAATTTCTAGTTCCGTCTTTAAGTCATCTTTCATCATTGAATTGTGAGTCGTGTCAGCTTGGGAAACATTATAGTCTTAGAGTTGATAGTCGTGTTTTGTGTCCTTTTTCTTTAGTTCACTCAGATGTTTGGGGTCCAAATAAAGTAGTGCCGTACAATGGCTACAAGTACTTTGTAATTTTCGTTGATGATATTCAAGGATGACATGACCTTATCTTATGAAAGACAGAAGTGAATTGTTCTTTATTTTCCAAAAGTTTCATGCTGAAATCCGTATCCAATTTAGTGTTCATATTAAAATTCTTTGCTTGGATAATGCAAAAGAATACACCTCAACACCATTTCAACAATACTTAGAGCATCATGGGGTAATTCACCAAACTTCTTGTTCTTATACCTCACTACAAAATGGCATGGCTGAATGGAAGAACCGACACTTACTTGAAACTACTTGGTCTACTATGCTTGATATGAATGTTCCAAAGCGTTTTTGGAGTGATGTTGTCCTTACATCATGTTTTCTCATCAATTGGATGCCTATGTCTATCATTGGAAGTCAGTCCCTTTTCTCAGTCTTGTTCCTTACTCTTTCTCAATTCCCTCTTACTCCCAAAGTCTTTGGTGTTCAGAATTTAGGGCTTGGACCGGACAAGTTAGATGCACGTGCTACAAAATGCATCTTTCTTGGCTACTCTAAAATCCAGAAAGGGTACAAGTGTTACAACCTTACCTCTCGTCGATCTTTTGTGTGTTCTAATGTCACTTTCTTTGAGTCTGTTCCATTATTTTTCTAGTTCTGATATTCCTCCTCTTGCTCTTGTGTTTCCTCTTCTAATTCCAGTTGAGGATTCCATTCCTACGGTTCCTGTTGTGTCTCAGTTGTTGTCTTCTCCAATGCAGGTTAATACTGAAAGGCCGCCAATCACACAAGTGTATAGTTGTATACTCATAGAAGAGCACCGACCCCTCCTCTAGTTCAGCCCTCGTCGACAGATCTTGCAGTTGTACCTCCTCCTTCTGACCTTTATCTTCTTATTGCATTGTGGAAAGGTAAATGTAATTGTACATCTCATCCTATTTCCCATTATGTTTCTATTGCTCACCTTTCTGCTTTCCATTGACAATTTATATCTTTGTTATCATTTGTTTCTATTCCTAAAAATGTCCAATAAGCCATTTCCTCTCCAGGGTGGCAACAAGCAATGGAAGAAGAATTGTCTGCACTGGCATACAATCACACGTGAGAGCTTACCACTTTCCCTCTTGGTAAGCATGTTGTTGGATGTAAGTGGGTATACACAGTGAATAATCTTCCAGATGGCAGTGTGGAATGGTTGAAAGCCAGGTTTGTGGCCGAAGGCTATTATTAGTTGTGTGGTGTTGACTATACGGAGACATTCTCTCCTATGGCTAAGATTGGCTTAGTTCGGGTGTTGATTTCTTTAGCAGCCATGTATGATTGGCCCCCTCTTTCGGCTTGATATAAAAAAATTCCTTCTTATATGGTGATCTTGTTGAGGAAGTATATATGGAGCAACCACCAGGATTTGTTGTTAGGTGCCAAACCAGGTAAAACACCCATGGAACCAAATGTCAAATTGAGTATTGATGCAGGTGTAGAGTTTGATGATCCTGGAAGGTATAGGAGGTTGGTGGGTAAATTGAACTACTTGACTATTACTCGTCCATATATATATCATTTGTAGTAAGTATGGTGGGTCAGTTTATGCAACATCCTTGAGTTCCACATTGGGAGGCAACTCTAGGAATTGTTAGGTACTTGAAGGGAGCTCCAGGTCGTGGTTTGTTATACAAGAGTGGAGGAACTCTTGAGATAGAGGGGTACACAGATGCTAATTGGGTCGGATATGTGTCTAATAGGAGATCCACTACAGGGTATTGTACCTTTCTGCCTCTGGATGGCAATCTGGTGACTTGGAAGAGCAAGAAACAAACTGTGGTAGCAAGAAGCAATGCTGAAGCTGAATACAGGGCCATGGCTCATACTACATGTGAACTAGTGTGGCTGAATTTTTTTTTGCAGGAGATGGGGTTCTTAGTTGACAAACCCATGAGGTTGTATTGTGATAACCAACCTACAGTCCACATTTCTTCTAATTCAATTTTTCACAAGAGAACAAAGCATATTGAAGTTGACTGCCACTTTGTAAGAGAAAAGGTGATCAGTGGAGTGATAAGTACAGCTCATGTGAGTTCAGGAAACCAATGGGCAGATTTGTTTACAAAGGAGTTGAGTCAAGGAAGAATGGATTATATATGTAACAAGTTGGGACTATATGATATATACTCTCTAGCTTGAGGGGGAGTGTTACAAGGGTAGTTTGGTCATTTGTCTATTTAATTAAGGTTGAATTGTCTATTTTGTCCGAGTTTAAGTTGTTTGTCCCATACATAATGAGGGACAGATTTGTCATTTGTAG